GGCAATGATTACGTATCTTTCAACATTTTGCTTATTTAGTCTGACATTTCTTCGAACCTTCATATTTTGCAAAGCCACACCTAAAGGCTACAAATTCTATCCATTGTAGAGCACACCTAATGCAACAAAGTATTTCCATTCATTTCTTTTTCATTATGAGTATTAAATGTGCATTTAGTTAGCGAGTTGCTAACACTTAGCTTTAATAGTTGTACTAAACGGAGAGCACTGAATTAGCGTTAGCTTATTCAATATCTTTCATCTGCCAAATTGCTTTATCTTGCCGATGAGAAGGCCAATTCTGACTGCTCATGGTGCCCGTAAAAGCGTGCAACTTATTGTAGGGAAACTTCTTTGTTGCAACAGAGTATCACTGAAACACATTACTTTCTCAGTATTTCGAAATCATCAAACCTACTCGCTTTTGTCATTGTGACATGGAAAATGTGTTAATGAGTTCGAGGAACCACTGCTGCAATTACTTGTGTTCGAGGGAAAAGAGAAAGTTGACTTGTCTTAAAGTGTCGATGGGACGGCTGTGCTATGCCACGCTACTTATCCCAAAATAACCTAAAATGGCCTAAACCTAAACTGATCTCCCAGTAGCCCCATTTCAAATGCCACATTGAGGTTCATTCCACGTTGACTTGTGAGACCGTCTGGCGAATCAACGAAATTATGTCCACTGAAATGTCACTTGGTCTTGTCTTCCACCAGATGAAAGAAGAAGGGTGAATCACTTACTTTTGCGGCTATCGAATCGCAAATTATGTAAAATCTACAAATTGTACATTAACTTAAAGTAGCATTGGAAAGTGAAGTAAGTCGGGTTGAGGTGAGGGGTGATGCCAAATATCCCCGGGTAGTCCATGCGCTCCAGTAGGTATTTCTGAACCTCAACTGCTTTCCAGGCATTTACGAAACCCTGTAGTGATCAGTTTTGCAAACCCTCCTTATTCTGCCACTAACCACTGGTTTCGCGCAACTCCGAGAAGTAGATTTAAATAATCAACTGCTTATCTTGTACTTAAAGTCCTTCTGCTGAAAGGCTTTAGGCAACATGATTTTATTCGTCGTCCAACTGCATATTTATACAAGGAGTG